ATGAGGGTGGGGGAGGAGAAGGCAGAGGGGGAGGAGCGAAGGGCTGAGGGGAAGCATGTCGGGGAGGAGGTCGAGAGCCTACTGGCGCTCGGGGGGATGAGACGCTCGAGTTTGAGTCCCGCTGAGCGGGGCAGGCAACGTCACGTTGCGCGCTGGCGCTATCTGGGGACGTCTAGGGCCAACCAAAGACAGCTCGGACGTCAACACGGCCGGCCCGCCCTACCGACACGTCTGGGTTTGCGACAGGGATGAGCTGTTTTTGAGGATGAGGGATTCAAGAGCAGCAGCGAGGGGGAGGAGGGACCGAGGAGCAGGAGCAGGAGGAGGAGGACGAGGAGGAGGAGGAGGCGGAGAAGGAGGAGGAGAGGAGGATGAGTAGAAGGAGGGAGGAGAGTAGGACGAGGCGGAGGATGAGGATGATGATGAGGATGAGAATGAAAATGAAGATGAGGGATGATGATAACGATGATGGTGATGATAGTGATGATGATGTTGATGATGATGATGATGATGATGATGATGATGATGATGATACTGATGATGATGGGGAGGAGGAAGAGGATGACGAGGATGATGCTGGTGATGCTGATGATGGTATGATGGTGCTGATGCTGATGCTGATGATGTTGATGACGCTGGTGATGCTGCTGCTGTTGGTGATAATGACGATGCGGCTGCTGCTGCTGCTGATGCTGCTGATGATGATACTGGTGCCCTCGATGATGATGATGCTGATGATGATGATGTTGATGATGGCTGTGGTGATGCTGATGATGCTGCTGATGATGCTGATGATTATGATGTTGCTGTTGATGATGATGATGCTGATGATGCTGATGATGCTAATGATGATGTTGATGCTGCTGTTGCTGTTGATAGTGATGCTGACGAGGATGACGATTCCGATGACGATGACGATGACGACGATGATGCTGCTGATGACGAGGATTATCATGATGATGCTGCTGATGATGATGGTGCTGATGCTGTTGATTATGACGATGATGATGATGATGAGGATGATGATGATGCTGATGATGGTCATACCGGTGATGCTGATGCTGCAGATGATGCTGATGATGATGCTTATGATGTTGATGATGCTGCTGATGATGACGATGATGCTGATGACGATGATGATGCTGGTGATGATGACGATGCTGCTGATGATGGTGATGATGCTGATGATGTTGATGATGCTGGTGAACATGATGCTGCTGATGGTGATAATGATGATGATGCTGATGCTGGTAATGATGGTGATGATGATGTTGGTGATGACGATGATGATGGTTATGCCGCTGTTGATGATGATGTTGTTGTTGCGGCAGATGCTGATGATTATTATGAGGATGATGATGATGCTGATGTTGATGATGCTGGTAACGATTACGATGTTGCTGCGGGTGATGATGATGACGATGATGATGCTCGTGATGCTGATGATGCTGATGATGACGATGATGCTGATGCCGGTGATGATGCTGATGATGATGATGATGATTCTGACTATGCTGGTGATGGTAATGATGGTGATGATGCTGATGATGATGATGCTGCCGATGATTATGATGTCTGTGATGATGACGATGATCATCATGATGTCAATGTTGATGATGCTGATGATGATGCCGATGACGATGATGATGGTGATGATGATGAATCTGAGTGTGCTGATGATGCTGATGCTGCTGATAATGATGCTGATGATGATAACGATGATGATGCTGATGCTGATGCGGCTGATGATGCTGCTGCTGATGATGATGCTGATGATGATGGTGATGATAATGAAGATGATCGTAGTGATGGTGATGACTATGATTATGCTGGTGATGGTAATGATCATGCTGATGATGCTGATGCTGATTATGATGCCGATGATTATGATGACTGTGATGATGCTGATGATGATGCTGCTGTTGATGATGCTGATGATGATGATGGTGCTGATGCTGCTGATGAAGGTGATGATGAGGATGAGGATGAGGATGAGGATGATGATGATGATGATGATGATGATGATAATGGTGATGCATATGAATATGCTGATGATGATGTTGATGCTGCTGACGATAATGCTGATGATGATGATGCTGATGATGCTGATGATGCTGACGGTGCTGCTGCTGATGATGCTGATGCTGCTGCTGCTGATGATGATGATGATGATGATGATGATGATGCTGATGATGATGATGATGATGATGATGATGATGATGATGATGATGATGATGACGACCATGACCATGATGGTGATTGTGACGGTGATGGTGATGGTGATGGTGGTGATGATGACGCTGAGGAGTAGGAGGAGGAGAATTAGGTGGAGGAAGAAGAGGAGGAGGCGGAGGAGGAACAGCAGGAACAGGAGGAGAGGGAGGTCACGAACGACCTTCCTTCCAGCCGCCAGGAACCAGGAGGATGAGGATGAGGATGAGGAGGAGGAGGAGGAGGAGGAGGAGGAGGAGGAGGAGAAGGGGGAGGAGGAGGAGGAGGAGGAGGAGAGGAGGAAGAGGAGGAGGAGGAGGAGGAGGAGGAGAAGGGGCAACAGCGGCAGCAGAAGGAGCATGAGAAGCAGGGGCATGAGGGAGCAGGGGTAGGAACGGGTGGAGGGAACGGGGAAAGAATGAGGAAGGGAGGAGCAGGAGGAGCCTGAGGAGCCGCAGCAGGGAGGCTCCCCATGGCGCGGACGAGGACGAGGAGGAGCGCGGTGCTCGCAGGCCTGGGCTTTGAGCTCGCTAAGAGAGGCCACCTGCCCACCGTGCTCGAGGCGCTCGCGCGCGCGCGTGCGTTCCCGCGTCCTGCTGCCGCCCCTCACCCGGGAGGAGGAGGCGGAGGAGGAGGAGGAGGAGGAGGGGGAGGAGGAGGAGGAGAAGGAGCAGGAGGAGGAGGAGGAGGGGGGCACGGATGGGGGAGCATGGGGGAGGATGAGGCGGAATGGACGGTAACGACGAGGGGTGAGGAAGAGGCATTCGGATGGGGATGAGGACGAGGAGGGCGAGGACGGGGACGACGAGGAGCAAGAGGACGAGGACGAGGATGAGAAGGACGAGCACGAGCAGGAGGACGAGGAGGAGGAGGAGAACGAAGAGGAGCCGGGGGAGGAGGAGGAGGAGGAGGAGAAGGAGAAGGAGGAGGAGGAGGAGGATGAGGACGAGGAGGCGCAGGCCCAAGAGGGCGCGCCCCCTGCTCCTCCGTGCCCGCACACCCTGTCCAGGGCCAAGGGCGCAGAGAAGTTTCGGTCTGGTCTCCTCCCCCTCCTCCTCCTCCTCCTCCTCGACCTGCTCCCCCTCCTCCTCCTCCACGTCCTCGTCCTGGTCGTCCTCCTTTTCCTTCTCATCTCTCCATTCCCTTTCCTGATACGTAGTTCCTCCCTGTCGCACCCCGAGGCCAGTCGGAATGGCGGGCGGGGCGTTTCGCTTGAGACTTCTCTAGCATTCAGGATCCTGAAACATAGGAGTTGACAACTGTTTCAAAGATGGAGGGTGGGCTGTTTCCCAAATGTGGCTCTCGCCTCAGCGTCGCGTACAGTTCTTTTTTTTTCAAGAAGCGCATGAGTTTCACGGACCGAGGGCGGGCTGTTTTCAAACTGTGGTTCTCGCCTTAGCGCCGCGCACAATTGTTGTAGATCTTTGCAAGAATTTCACGGCTTGAGGGTGGGACATTTTCAAATTGGGGCTCTCGCCTCAGAGTCGCGCAACTCTGTCGAAACCATTCCAAGAGTTTCACGCATTGAGGGCGGCTACTTTTTTAAAATTGTGGTTTCCACCTTAGCGCCACGCGCATTCGTTTTCAAACCTGTTCAAGGGTTTCACGGATTCCCAGGGCGACCCTGCTGCTGCCGCACGCTGCGCTGGAGGCCGAGGCCGCGCTATCTATCAGCAGTTCCTTTCATGCGCAAGGATTGTAACACGACGCCCACTCCTTCCAGTTCCCCCTGGCTTAGAGGGAGAGCGAGAGAGAGAGAGAGAGAACAAAAAAAGGCCAGTCCTGGAGGTTGGATGGGCGATCGACTTTCGTCGCCCCCTCCTCTTTCTTCTCGTCGTCTAGTTCGACAGGCTAGGCGCCATGCTGGTCTTTCCTTGGGCGTTAACCTCTTCTCTCTTTTCCTCGTGGTCGTGCCCGCGCCGCCGCGTCCTGCCCTCCCGGGCCGATCCAGAGCTCCTCGTCAGCGTGGCGGCGGCCAAACGGGGGGGAGGAGAGGAAGGTGTGGCTGAGGAGGGGTGGAGGTGGGTGAGAAAGATGACCGGGAGAGTGAGGCAGAGGAAGGAGAGGAGGAGGAGGAGGAGGAGGAGGAGGAGGAGGAGAGGAAGGAGGAGGGAGGAGGAGGAGAAGGTGGAGGAGGAGGAGGAGGAGGAAAGGGTTCGTGGAGTTTTGTCATTGTTTTCGGGCTTCTTGGGCCCTTCCTGGGCCCCTGGGCCATGAAACATCGACAAGTGGAAAGCCTGTCGCGGGGGAAGCCTCAGAGTAGAACCATGAGAGAGAGAGAGAGAGACATCCGAAATCTGAAATCAGACTCGTCAAACATGCTACGGTGCCTAATGGGAACGTCCATGAGGAGTATAATTCTCGATCAAAGTACGGATGCCAAGCTGACGCGACACCACCAGCATCAAACAAACACCGCCGAGAAAGGGCTTGTAGGACCTGCGCCGTCGGCAGTTCACGGGAAGCCCCAGGGTACAGGACCCGGGGAAGGCATCAGGGCCCGGGGCCTTTGCTCTCGGCGCCGTCCTTCTTTTCAAAGCGCTGCGTGTTCCCCGGGGCGCTCTTCCGTACGGTTTCTCTCTTCGCAGGCGGTTCTTCCCCCCAACCGCTGAGTACCGTCCGGAAAGTTTGGCCGCTCAGAACATTCAGGAGGGAGAGAAACACACAGACACAATTAATCGTCGACTCCTCGGAAAATAGATAAATACGGGAAGAGAGGGGAAGACGAACACCGAGAAAATATGGGGAAATATGGTGAATCCTTGTATCGTGTAATTTTTTTGTGTGTCCCTGGGCTCCTTCAAACATGGAGGGGGCCCAGGGATACAAGCCGAGTTGGTTCTTCGGACACGCCCCTATCGCGGACGGACGCCCCCCTTCGTAGATTTCGGGGTCGGGCCCAAAAATGCTGGTCTATTCGAAAACCCTATGAAGCCTCGGGTAGGGTCGACACATCCCCTGTTATCTCCAGGGCGTGTGGGCGACGGTCGCACCATCCGTCTTCTGCCAGCTGGCAAAGCCGGCCATGCGCAGAGGTGTGTGTGGGGGAGGAGGGAACGTCTCTTAGAAGCGCCCTTGGTTCTCAGAAGGCGCGCGCCTTGCCTATAGACATGGGGTCGGCGCCTTCTAAGAAGCAGCCTCCTTCGAAGAAGCCCTTACCCCCTTTCACCCTACTTCTCTGTGCGCGCCGCCACAAATGGGTCGAGTTTTGAGCGGACATTGGCGCGTAAGCTGCCCGCGTAAGGTCGCGCGTAAGCGCCCTCGTTTCCCATGTGGCGCTCCGCGCCAGTGGCCCGCGCACAGCAGGACCAAGGTGTAAGAGGTCGGTTCGGGGACGTGTTTGTTGGATGTCCTTGTGCATCCTGGGGAGGGTACCCTTGGATGTCCTGTTTGTTTTGGCCGACGGAGGGTCTCATGTTCTCGAGGGATGTTCTTCTGGCCTGGGTTCGACTGTAAACTGTGGCCCCATACAGCCATAGTAAGGATGGGCACCCTTCCCAAGGGTACCCTTGCATCCTTGCCTTCTCGGTCCATCCTTGGCCACTTTCGTTGGCTGCGCCCCGCTCGAAGAGCTTCGAAATGGCCTTCCAAGGCCCTTGCATCCTTATCGCGCGTCCTCATGATACGGGTCGACTATGCCCCCTATTGCACGCCGCCGACAATGGACAAAACGTGCAGTGCGTGGGGAAACCAAGAGGTACCGATACCGCTACTCCCCAGAGCTCTCCTGGGTTGCGTTCTGACCAGGATTCCGAGGCGAACCCAGCGGGCGGGGGTAAAGGTACCCATCGGTCAAGTAGGTATTTTTTGGATTCCCAGATTCCGCTCTACGTCAAGCGCCTTCCTGCTTCAACGATCGAGTGGCTTCACCTGTTCCGTCCCCTTTTCGGGGGCTTGCGGACACCCAATTTATTTGCAACGCCTTCCTACCTCGTGTTCAGACCTGCTTCTTCCGACCGACGGGCAGAGGTATGGTGACCTCTTCCTCCTCGGAGTGCGGGCGCCCGCCGATCTGGCGGCTGCCTTGCGAGAACTCCACGCAGGACCTGCTGCCCTGCCGGCGCTCCGAGAGGGGGAGCAGCGCCGACGCTCGCCGACCTGGCCTGGGGCCCTGGCCGGAGGGGCCCCCGGGGGGCCCTCCTGGGGGCACCGCTCGGACGTGTACGCTCTTTCTTTCGCGGCGGGGGCCATCGACTCCTCCTCCCTCCTCCCCCTCCTCCTCTTCCTCCTCCTCCTCCGCCTCTCCTCCTCCTCCTCCTCCTCTCCTCTCCTCTTTCTCCTCCTCCTCCTCCTCGTCCTCCTCCTCCACCGCCTTATCCTCCTCCTCCTCCTCCTCCTCCTCCTCGTCCTCCTCCTCCTCCGCAGAAATAATGAAAGAGACCACGCCCTGGATAGGCCCCAGACCCCTCCCTTGGCATCGCTCGGCCGTGGGCGCTTTTTGATTCTCGGCGTGGGCCATCGAGGAGCCTCCTGGCCCATCTTGCAAATATCGGCAGCGAGCGAGTGGGGGGAAGTGAGAAGGAGGAGGCCCTCAGGGCTCGCAAGTCCCCCGGCCTTCCGAGAAGTTTCCCAAGCCCTCCCCGAAGACACACCAGCAAACAACAACTTCTCAGAAGGCGCGAGGGCTTCTGAGAAGAAGTCCCGCCGCCTTTCTGAGAAGGCCTTCTCCCTCTCACTTTCCCCCCCTCCCCTCTCGCTCGCCGCCCCCCGCCCCCGCCCCAACAAAAACACGCGCGCGAGATCGACAACGTGTACGGGACAGGGACGCCCGAGCGATGGCGAGCCTCGCGCTCCCCGCCCTCGCCTCTGCCGGGCTCCGCGAGGGCGCGTCGAGGCTTCGCTTCTGCGCTTGAGTCGGGCATGTGCCCCTACAGGAGGGATATCCAGAAACAGTTCCAAAAGTAGTCTGGGGACGATTTTTTGGTTTGTTTTTTATGGACTATGAACGAATATGTTTTGACACTCGTGCATTTCTCCTCCAAAATCCGCCTGTAGGAGGACATGGAAGACCTAAGTCTGCGCGCGCGCAGGTGCAAGAGGACAGTCCAGCGTGGTGTGCTGGAGTCCGGGATGGCGACGGCATCCTCGAGGTGCGCGCGGGGCACGCAAAAGTCAGGCGATCGCAAACATGGATCAAGGAGGCGTGGATTAGCGGCTGGTCCCGTTTCCATGGGAACTCGCGGATTTCCGCCGTCGAACGAGGCGGCACCGGCCGCATTTTGGGGAAGGCACCTCCCCCGATCCATGGATTTGGCGACCGCGCGCCAAATTAGCGGATCGCTAATCCATGTTTGCATTCACAAGCTTCTGGAATTCCGCGCGGGTTTCTTGAATCTGCGCTTGGCCCCCTGGCGGCGCCTCCGGCGCCGCCCCTGGCGCGCTCCACGCTCGAGAGAGGGGGGTCCGGCACAGATCCAAGAGATCCGCGCGGACCTTGTTGTTTTTTGTTCCTCTAGGTCAACGGCGAGTCGACGCTGACCCTATCCAAGGCAGCGGTGGCCGAGGGGTCGGTCCTTCTGCGGACGTGTGCGGTCCATCTTTGTCTGGCAGGTACTGTGCTTTCTTTTCGGACTTGCGCACATTGCGAAAACCGCTCGTGGACTATGTTTAGAGCTTAAGTTTTTTACTCGAGCACAAAACGCGCGTTATGTAGCCTCCAACCCATCCGCCCACCCAGTAGATAACATAACGCCCTCAGCTTCACTCACCCCCGTTGCAGCAGCGTCCGTTGCTTGGCGCGTAGGTATGCCCGTCGTAGTGAGCGCGCAACGTGTTGTGTCATGTGCCAGCGGGCCCACCAACGGGCGTTATACGGCTTCCCAAAAACTTGACTTCCTACAGTCTGGGCCGTTTTTGATGAACCTGTCGCGCCGCCGATGCTGGCCCTCCGCGCTTCGGCGCGACGCGCTCGCCACGTCCCGAATCCCGAGCGTCCACGGCCCGAGCCTCTTCTCGGCCTCACGCGGAGTGGAGCGGCACGTTCTATCACCTTGCAGGGCACCGGGCACAGCGTGTCGCCGGGGCCGCCGCCGCGACACGCGAATGAAGGAAGCACCCCCGACCGTACACATTGCGCAAGCCTCTCCTGGAATAGATTCGGAAGGCCTAGCGGCCGGCGCCGCCGACCCTGAAGGGGGACGGCGACGACGGCGGCGGCAGCGGCGACGACGACGACGCTGACGCTCTGGAGCCTTTCTTGGGGCTCTCTTGGGAGCCTCGTGGGCTCTGTTGGGACTTGGGCTGTGGCCGCGGCTGAGGCCAGGGCCAGGGCCAGGGCCGGGGCTGGGGCTGGGGCCGAGGCCGCAGGAACTATATCCAACTCGTTGCATCTGTGCTTGGGCAGTGCTATCTTATTCCGCTGCTCCTCAGCTATGTCGGAAACTGGACCATATACATTACTAGTGGCGGGATGTTTTTCAGTCCCAGAACTTCTGAGGGTCGGGGACGACGTCGGAGTGGTGTGGTGTATACTTTTTTCCCCGTTTTCCAGTGGAAACAACGAAACATGTATACACCAGGGTCCGGTATACACCAGGATCCGCCTTCCCGTGCGAGTTTCAGTGCGGGGCCGAAAAATGCGTCGGTGTATAGAGTTCGGTTCCTTACTATGCCCCCGCCACGCTGCATCTCCCCTGGTGTTGATGGAGGATGGGGGAGGTGGTAGGAAAGGGGGCAGGCCACGATGGCAGGGACAGCGAGGGAGGGGCGCAGGGAGGCGCGAAACGAGCACGGGTTGCTGGTGAAATAGAGGGCTCTGCTTAAGTCGGGCCTGTTCCTCTACAGGAGGAATATTCAAAAAATGTAAACAATAGTCAGGTGACATTTTTTGACTATGTTTGGGCATTCTTGGAGTATTTTGGGGCTCTTTTAAATTTTTCGTTCAAAAACCCCCTGTAGGGGGACAGGCCCGACCTAAGACTATGCGGAACGAGCAAGGACGCTACGGAGCGAGCAAGGATTGCGGAGTGAGGGACAGCGGGGTACGATGCGGAACGGGCAAGGAATTCGCCCTCGGGTGCGCGAAGTGATTCGCGCTTCGCGGTTTGGCGCCGATTCCTCCTCATCGTTTTCTCCCCTGGGGCGCTGCGCGAGAGCGCGAAGTTGCTCGCGCTTCGCGCAGCGCGAAGCGCAAAGTCAGGCGCCCTTGCTTTTGGAAAAGATCATGCCGCAAGAGTAACGCTCACGCTGGGAACTCTGATAGCATCGAGCTGCCTGCGGCAAGTCCTGCCACCGTGCCAGCCCAGAATTCTGGGTGGCGATGGTTCGACAGGGCACGGGAGGCCGTCACATGTGGCGCCTCGTGTCTCCAGGATCGGAGGATTTGCGATGCTGTTGATGTTGAGGTTGATGGTGTTGCTGTTGATGTTGATGTTGATGTTGATGTTGTTGTTGTTGTTGTTGTTGTTGTTGTTGTTGTTGTTGTTGAAATCGATGCTGATGTTGGTCGTGCTGTGGATGATGGGAATGATGATGACGATGCTGCTGCTGATGATGATGATGCTGATGATGCTGCTGATGCTGATAATGATGACGATGCTGATACTGATGATGCTGATGATGTTGATGATGATGCTGTCGCTGCTGCTGCTGCTGATGATGATGAGGAGGAGGAGGAGGAGGAGGAGAGGGAGGAGGAGGAGCAGGAGGAGGAACAGCAGCAGCAGCAGCAGGAGGCGGACGAGGACGGCCGTCATATGTGACAGCTGTCCCCTTCACTATGTGAGCAGTTCTCACGGAACTCGTTCGGACCATTGGGGCTGTCTTATTTCCCGTGGGCCAGTTTTGCGGGTCCCTTGCGGCCGCCTTGGGTTGTTGTGCGGCCCTCTCAGGCCGTCTTGTGGCTCTCTAAGGCCGTTTCGGGATCGTCTTGGCCGTATGGTGTGCATTTGGGGGGCGTCGTGGGGCCGTCTTGTGCAGCCGAAGGACCTTAGTGTTGGCTTGGGTCCCGTGGGATGCCCTCTTTGGCCGTCTCGGGGCCGTCCTCGATGCCTCTTGGGCCATCGTGAGACCTCTCGGGCCATCTTGGGGCCGTCGTGGAGGCGTCCTAGGCAGTCTTGAGCTGACCCAAACCCGAAAAGGCGAGAATGCGAACATCAATCAACAACCATCGGGAAATCAATGAGTTTGGCTTCTTCGGGCCCTGTTAGAGGTTCTCTTGTGGTCCTTTATGGCCTCGGAGGCACCCTGGGACGTCTTGAGGCCATGTTGGGCCGCCTCGTGGCTATCTTGGGCCGTCTTCAAGGCATCTCGGCCCATCTTGTCGTCCTTGGTTGCTTGCATGGGCCGCCTCGGAAGCTCGGGATGCATATCCATGGTGTTTTACGAGGGACCGTAGCCTCCAGTGCGAGGCCCAATCGTATTTACGAGGGGTCGTGGCCTCGGGAATGGGGGGGCGATGCATGCGGGGAACGCGGCTAAGGGTGTCTGTGCGTGTGTGTGTGTGTCTCTGGTCTGAGGATACACGCCGGTCGTTGAAAGTAAGTATTTTTGGATGCCCAAATCCTAATCTACTTTAGGCGCCTTCCTACTTCAAGAGTCGAGCGGTTTTACTTCTTTCCTCCTCTTCAGGAGGCGGGCGGAAGTCCAATCTACTTCAACGCCTTCCTACTTCATGTTTCTACCCACTTCTTCCGACCGGCGTGTACAGAGCCCCTACCAGACGACCCTGGGCATTCTTCCACGCCTCAACGTGCACAGGGCACGGTGGCGGATGAGCTCACGGATGATCAATTGAACAGACGGTGCCTTGATCTGCGCGTCGGGCGCATGCTTCAAGGCTTGGGGCTGGTGCCGCCGACCTTGAAGGGGAACGACGACGACGATGGCGGCGCCGACGACGACGACGAAAAGATGATCCCTTGATCTGCGAGTCTGGCGCACGCTTCTGACCCGAACGGTTTTAGGGGGAGGAGGAGTGGAGAGGAAAAGGTGAAGGGGAGGAGGAGGAGGAGGAGGAGGAGGAGGAGGAGGAGGAGAGCTGAGAAGGACGTGAGAGGCAGGGGGGAGAGGAAATATGATGCCTCAAGGTTTGTGTTGACGTTATTGGCCCCTGGACGGAGAGGACGAGGGAGGGCCATCCAGTCTCCTGAAGGAGGAGGAGAGGGGAGAGGGTCAGGGGAGCAGGAGCAGGAGCGAGGCCGGAGTGGGTATTCGTGACTCTTTTGCTTGCCTCCCTCCCGTCTTCACTCGCCCTCTTTGCAAGCCTCGCTGGCTGCTTGGCCGCAGTGTTGCGCAGAGTCGGGGCCTTTTCGCCAGCTTGACTTCGATGAGGAGGGGGAAGAGGGGAGATGAGGATGGGGGAGGATTAGGAGGAGGGGAATGAGAAGGAGGCATGAGAAGGGGGAGGTGTGGGGGAGGAGTGGAAGTGTAGGGGAGGAGAGGCGTGCACACCTTGCATTTGCGCTTTACCGAGCGTCGCCAGCGCAAGGGGGCCATGACGTCTGCGCTTGCACAGCAAGCTGAGCTGACGATTTGGCGGCGCCCCATGGGCATGAATTTGGAGGATCCGCTCTCTTTGCCCACTGTCAACTTTCCCCTCCTCATCCCTCCACGCCGTCCCGGTATGCCCCTCCTCGGGGTTGAGGATGGGGGAGGTGCAGGGAGGAGGAGGAGGAGGAGGAGGAGGAGGAGGAGGAGGAGGAGCAGGAGGAGAACCAGAAGGGAGGAGGAGTGTCTCGAGCCAAAGGACAGTCACGAGAAGGGGAGGGGAGGGGGTTGAGGGAGTATGAGGAGGGGAGAGGCGGAGGAGAAGAAGGGAGGGACCATCGGCTGGTCACGCTGAAGGCTGGCGATGGCCTTGGCGATGGTGATGGTGCTTTTGCAGCTGTCGTCGCAGCTGCCGCTGGTCGCCCTCCTGCGTCTTCCCGCCGTTTCCCCCTTCTCTTCTCCTCCTCTTCCTCCCTCTTCTCCTCCTCTCTTTCCGTTTCGTCCCTCTCCTCCTGCTCCTCCTCCTGCTCCTCCTCCTTCTTCCCCTTCGACCCATCCCTCCAGCTGCCGCCCCCCTCGCTCTGAAGAAGCCCGCCGGCAGGAGCTGTGGGTGGCGAGCGTGCCGCCCAGCCGGGGGGACTGAGTCTTCCTGCCCCCGGCGGAGCTGCGCCGGCCGGCCTGCGACTTTTTCACGCTGCCCGCCCTCCCTCCTCGGCCACGCGCAGAGGGGGGGTACACGCCGGTCGTTGAAAGCAGGTATTTTTGGATTCCCAGATCCCAATCTACTTCAAGCGCCTTCCTACTTCAAGAATCGACACGCTTTTGCTGTGTTTTGTTATTCTCTGGGGGGGCCTGGACCCAATCAACTTAATCCGCCTTCCTACTGCATGCTTTTACCTACTTCTTCCGACCGACGTGTAGTGTTAGGTCGGGCCTGTCCCCCTACAGGGAGGTTTGGGACGAAAAATACGAATATGCATAACATGCGCAAAAGGATGCCCAAGCATACTCCAAAACTAGTCCCCAGACTATGTTTTGACTATTCTGGAATATTCCCCCTGTGGAGGGACAGGCCCGACTTGAGGGTAGGGGAAGGGGAAGGGGGGAAGGCTTCTCAGGAGCCCCCTGCTTCTGAGAAGGCTCGGGCCTCGACTACACATGCAAGGCCAGCACCTTCCTCCAGGGAGCCCTGGGTTTCTTGGGCTTCGATGGTTCTGCCGTGGAAGGCGTGGCGCTCCCACACCAGACATCCATGAAGGGTCCTGGGGTCTCAGGGTTGGGCTTCTTGCGGAAGGCGTCCTGTGGTCGAGCTCCTGCTGCAAGAGGCAGCCTCCTTCTGCGAAGCCCTCCCCCCTCCCCCTGCTCCCCTGTGCGCGCCGCCAACTCCCTCTGACGTCCGGCCGTCCCTCCTCGGCGCCTGGGCGGCTCGCAGGAGTCGCGGCGTGGGCCCTCGTCGTCATCGTCAAAGACGTCGTCGTCGCCGTCGACGTCAACGTCGTCGTCGCCGCCGCCGACGAAGTCGTCGCTGTCGTCGTCGTCGTCTTCGTTGTCGTCGTCTTCGTTGTCGTCGAAGTCGTCGCGACCGTCCTGCGAGCAGAGGTGCCCCGCGGAAGCTTCCCTTGCCCCCTGGCGGCCCTCTGGGCCCCCCTGCCTTAGGGCACCTCGGGACCCTCGACAATCGACGAGGACTGTGCCCCAGGATTTCTCATTCGAGGGGCTTCCGCCTCTCCTCATAGGAGGAAGAGGTGCCCATACACCTCTACCCTTCGGCCGTTTTGCCCCGTTTCGGGCCTCCTGGGAGGCCCTCGTCGCCACCGCTGGATTCGCCTGGAAACTCTGGTCAGAACGCACTCTGGGGGAGGTCTGGGGGGTAGCGGTGACGGTACCTTTTGGTTTCCCCAATGCCGCCGACCCCCAGAAAAGGCGGGGAGTCCACGGTCGAGGCGTCGTGGGCTTCTTGGGTACCATCTTGGGACTCTCGTGGGCGTCTTGGGAGCCGTTCGGTGGCCCGTGCCCCAAGAATTCTTTGGAGCTGGATTTCTTCGGGTGTGTGCGCCTGCTGTCTTCGACCACCAGGGGTTCTCCTCCTGGGCCTGGGCGCCATCGGGAAAGGTTCCGAGATTCCAGAGACGGCACCAGGGTTCGTGAGCTCGCCTGTGGCGAAAAGCAGCCCACTCAACGTCAACAAAGGAGGAGGAGGAGGAGGAGGAGGAGGAGGAGGAGGAGGAGGAGGAGAATGAGGAGGAGGAGGAGGAGGAGGAGGAGGAGGAGGAGGAGAAGGCGGGGAGGAGGAGGAGGAGGACGAGGACGAGGAGGAGGAGGAGGAGTAGAGGAGGAGGGGTAGGAGGAGTAGGAGGAGGAGGAGGAGGAGGAGGAGGAGGAGGAGGAGAAAGCGCGACATTCGGACTCCCGGGCCTTGCCCGGCCCAGAGGTTCTTGAGCCTCGACTTGGGCTTGGCCCTCGTTCTGGCGGCGCCCTTTGCCCCCCGTGAGTTCTGATGCTGTCGTCCCTCCGCTCTGGAGGTCTTTGGCTCTATGAGCCTCGGAGTTCACTCTCGACCCCCGCCTCTCTGCTCGGAGGTCATGTCCCTTGGCCCCCTCCTCCTGCATTCCCCCACACCCCTCGGGCCAGACGCAAGGGTAGAGTAGGGAAAGGGGGAGGTTGCGAGATCTGCCGCAGGTGGCCGGTTTCCGCCCCGCCGCCGGGCCCACTCCTGGGCGCCAGGAGGCGCCAGGAAAGCCAGCCACGTGAGCTGACACGTTACCCTACCCTACCTTTTGCTATCCTACCCTTTCGTCGTCCCTTGAGCCTCGCCTCCCCCTCCACTCATCCCTCTCCTCCTCCCCCCCCCTCCCCCTTTGCCGCCCTCGCTGTACTCGCTTGCTTCGGTCCCTCGGTCGGCCCCCACTCGTGGCCGTGCGGTGTTGTGCAAGGGAGTTAGCGCCAGACTCCAACCCGCCCGCGTTCAAGTGTGGCGCTCCTGGAAGGGCCTCGCCTTCAAGGTCCGAAGGAGTTGCCATCCCTTCCTCGGCGGAAGGCGGCGGAAGGGCGCGGCGGACAGCGGCGGAAGCCAAACGAGGCAGTCTCCGCAGGCGGAAGACCTGCGGAAACAAACATTGGCCCCCCAGTCGAAGAAAAACAAATGCCATAACATCAACTGTTGGCGCTCCGCGCGGATTTCTTGGATCCGCGCTGGGCCCCCCTCCCTGGCGCGCGGAACGCGCCAGGGGCGGAGGCGCCGGCGGGGGCGGCGCGATCGCCATGGGTCGAAGAAGAAAAACGCCATAACCATTAACTGTTGGCGCTCCGCGCGGATTTGCTGGATCCGCGCTGGGCTCCCCCCAGCGGCGCCTCCGGCGCCGCCCCTGGCGCGCTCCGCGCCAGGGAGGGGGGTCAAGCGGCAATCCACGCGGAGCGCCAACAGTTTATGCTTACTATATTTTTGTTGTTCTTGTTCTGCTCATTTTTGGGGTCCAGGGGCCAGGAATCGGCCTCATGAAAAAACCGTCCCCCTCTTCCCATTCCTCCCCCTCCCCCTCCTTCTTCTCCCCCCCCGCCGTCGCCCCCCTCCGCAGGTTAAGTGTCAGAGCTGCGCATTCAGTGTAGCAGCACGGTTGCCAGGAAGGCGAAACGACAGGGGGTTCAACAACGCTCTCGGTGGCTCAAAGGTGAGGTCCTGAGGGATCGGGTCCCGAGGACGAGGTGCCCCAAACACTGTAAATCCATTGGATCCCCTCCTATCCTTGAGACCCCATCTCTTAGGACCCCATCTTTGAAGCACCCGCGCTTTGACGGCCCCAGCCCGAGCCAAGTTTCTCTACACCTTGGGCGATGCTTAAGAAAACCCAAGTTTTCGGGCAGAGTCTCGATAATTCTTAACGTTTCAATGTGAATCCTAAGATTTGAATGGAAGCGTTGGGTTTTTATTCAAGTTCTGAGACTATGAATGTCTTAACCCATGATTTCTTAAGCATTTCGCAGGGTGTAGGGTGGACATCAGGCGGCCTGATGGGCTTGAATGGTGCTGCTGCTGCCCCCCGCATCTCGGGGCGAGAAGGATCGCATGAGATCCTTCGAGAGCTCCGGCCCCTCGGGCCAAGGTGTTGGCGCTGGACTCCCACCCACGTCCAATGAAACGAATATATACCTTTCTTTCCTCCCGTCCCTCCCCTCCCCCTCCTCCCCCCCACCACCATCCGTATATTGATTATGGCCCTGCTCCTGCCACTGTTTTTTTGCCGTCCTCCTCTTCCTCCTCCTCCTCCTCCTTCTCCTCCTCCTCCTCCTCGCTCCTCGCTCCTTGCTCCTCGCTCCTTGCTCCTCGCTCCTCCTCCTCCTATCCTCCCGCTCTCCTCCTCCTCCTCCCCTCCTCCTCCTCCTCCTCCTCCTCCTCCTCCTCCTCCTCGCTCCTCGCTCCTCGCTCTTCCTCCCCCTCCTCCCCCTCCTCCTCCTCGTCCTCCTCCTCCTCGCTCCTCGCTCCTCGCTCCTCCTTCCTCTCCTCCTCTCCTCCTCCTCTCCTCCCTCCTCGCTCCTCGCTCGCTCCTCGCTCCTCACCCTCCTCTCCCTCCTCTCCTCCTCCCCCTCTCCTTCCTCCTCCTCCTCCTCCTCCTTCTCCTCCTCCTCCTCCTCCTCCTCCTCCTCCTCCTCCTTCTCCTCCTCCTCTCCTCTCGCCATGGGGGAAGCGGTGCCTAAGGCAAGCGGGCCATGAGGTGTGTCGCCGCTTTCGGGCTTCTCGGGGCCCTCCACTGGCCCTGGGGCTGTCAGAAAGCGGCTCAGGGTGAATAGCTCGTCCTGGGGAAGGCCCCAGGGCTCCAGACCCGTTTCCCTCGGGACCCGTTTCCCGTTTTCCCCCGTGTCTTAGAGATGTGGGGGTATCCTGGAGGCGTCCGAGAACTGGCTCGGAGAGGCGCGGAGGGCCTGGGAGATGAGATGCGCTGGGGAGCTCGTCCTCCCCCCTCTTCCCCTCCCCCCCGCAAGCGGCATTCTGGACCCCCGAGGAGGGGAGGTCGATGACCACGTGTGAACCCCACCCCCCGCCCCCCTCGATTGCTGGGGGGGGAGTCACTTCGTTCGGAGGGGGATGAACGACCCCTGCAGCGGGACACCCTGGCAACGCGGTCGCCGCCGCAAAAACTGCCCGTTCAACGCTGGCGCCGCGCAAAGGCTGCGCCGAACAGACTGTTCGGCGCGCGGTCGCGCCATGGGCGACATGGACGCCCCGTCGTGGCACGCGCCTGCGCCACCGCGGCCGTCTTGGAGGCGGAGCCATGGATCGCGGTGCGCGGGTCGGCGACGGGCCCCGCGGCCGAGCCGAGCCGGCCCGCTCCGCCGCCAAATTCGGGCGGCAGTGGCTTCGTGCCTCGAGGGCGGCGTTCCCGGATTCTCGGGGGAGGAGCAGGTGACTACCCACACCTCTGGCCTTCCCTCGTTTTCTCCCTTTTGGGGGCTTCCTTGGCCTCTCCGTCGTCGCCACCGCTGGGTTCGCCCCAGAATCCCGGTCAGAGCGCACCCCAGGAGGTCCGGGGAGTGGCGGTGTCGGCAACTTTTGGTCTCCCCAGGTTCTTGGGTTTGGCGTCCACGCGCCAAATCCGCGGATCTGTGATCCGCGCTGGTGTGCGCCAGAAACAGGGGGGGTCAGCGGGTCATCACTAGCATCAGCATCATCGTCGTCATCGCTGGGGGGTGCGCACGAGTGGGGGGGCAGCCCAAGGTGGCGTCGCAGAGCGGGCCCAGCTTGAGGCGGATGTGTCCCTTTC